GGTCAACCAACATCCTCAGGTCTCAGAGTCTAACTTATTTCTTCCTGAAGCAGCTCACCTACCCCTAAAATAATATTTTTATGTGTACATATATGTAATTTCTTTGCAGGACTTTTTATTTTTACTATTAGTACATGCGCTATTTGCATAATTTTGTACTTACTGCTCCAGAACTACCTTAGACACGGACCACCCCTATCTCAATGTGACATACAGGTCCTCAGGCAGTGGTCCCAAGACGGGTTTGCCCCCTTACCATACGAAACTCCCAATCTTCCCAGTTGGTCACTACAAGATGGTTATTTTGTGGTATTAGATATTCATCGGTTTAAAATCTACCCCCAGTAGAGATACTCTCCACTTCTAGAATACATTTGTGTGTATGTATACCTACCTTAGGATGACGGTTCCATGCATGTTCCTCTAGGAACCTGAAGTGCCAGGAAGTAAGACAAACCCAATCTTTACTACCAGTTATATATACCTCTGAAGGTAAGGGGCATGTCCTTAAAGGCTTCACCACTAAGATTAGTGTATATACCCCGCATTTGTTCCTTAAAACGGAATAATCAATATAGTTTTGACGAGGATCGGTTTTTTATGATTTTAGTTATTAAGATTTAGCTAATAAGTTGAGCCTAATTATTAGGTATACAGAATTAAAATAAGTATGTGGTTTCTGTGCTTTGTAAAACTAAAATTGTGTAGGACTATTTAAGTATTTAATGTTATTAGAAAGAGTGGTTGTCCCATCGATATTATAAATTAAGTTCTGTGGAAACTTTTACTTGTTATAATCTGAAATTTAATGTACTTACTATGATACTGAGCGTTTTCAGACCTAACGACACGATACCGTCACGACACCGGCAACGATATCGGAGCGTGCAAAAATATATTAATGCAATGTAACGCTTTCACACTTACCATCATATCGGCGTCATGTCGTTGCAGGTGCCGACATGTCGGTGGATAGCAGCCTTCCCTATCGTGTCGTCGTGCTGACAGTGTTTTTTTTAACACTACGTGTGACAGGACAGGATATTGTTATTTTATAATTAAAAACGACAAACAAATAACATATTATTATGGCGAGTAACTTTAAATACGATGTATAAAAGATGCCCTTCAGATACCTAGTTTTGATAATAGGATGCACCCAAAACCGTCTTCGGTTTCTCTTTGTTTTTCGCCTTAAGTACAATATTTATATAGCAAATATAAATTGTTACCTGCTGGCATTATTATTTTTCTAAAATATTATTATTTAGGCATGTTTATACTTTTTTATCAAGCACCATAAAAAGAAAGTGTGAAAGATCAATAGCCGATATCGTGTCGGTGTTGCTGTCGTGCCAGTGTCGTGTCGCTATCATGTCGTAAGGTATGAAAACGATCATTGGGAACAAAACAGTTCTGTTTGGGGTATAACACAATTGATTTTAAATAATTTGTACATAATTCTTTTCTTTTAATATATTTTCCTTTTTTTTTTTTATAAACCGCATGGTGAATATTTATAATTATAAGTTATTTTCCTTTTTTCATTATAAGACAGATATTTGAAGTGTTTTATTACCTTCAACCACAGGACTCGAGACTAATGTAGGGAAACTGTCGCAGGGTTAGAGTACAGCCTTAGCAATAAGTAAGGTCTATCATTGTGCTAGGTGATATATGAATGTACATTATAATACTTCGCTCGAATATAAGTACGGGTAATTAAAATCAATGACAAATTTATTATTTAATAGTTTTATTTATTTAGTTATTTTTTTTATTTGTAACACCCACCCCCTTGAGATTAAGTTAGAAGAATTAGAAATCCTAACGGCTTCAGAACTCCTAAACTCAAAACCAAACTTTGCAACAGAGGTGAAGTACCTAGGTCGCACCTTTGACAGCAAGTTAACATGGAACTCGCATTTAGAAAACCTAGTTAAAAGAGCATACATTGCTTATAAACATTGCCGCCGAACCGTGGGGTGCACCTGAGGTTTCTCCCCCAGAGTCGTCGCATGGACTTAGACAGCTATCATAAGACCTATGCTAACATACGATGCAGTTGTCTGGGTACCGAAAACCCAAAAATTAACAGCTATCCGTAAACTAGAACAAATTCAAAGAATAGCATGTCTCAACATAACAGGAGCCATGAAAATAACACCGACTAGAGCCATGGAAGTCATTCTTAGTCTCACTCCTCTTGATATTTACACAATGTCACACCTCCGCACCTCCTCATGTAGGATCTGGTGAGGCGAGACGTTAGTTTTGGCAGGAGGCGCTCGATACGATCCCACTGCTTCAAGCGAACATTGACTCCATCTCACCGAATTATATCTTCCATAAGCCATATAAAGTTATAATAGAACAAATAGAAGAGCCGGAACTGGCAGGTACGATTCATATCTACACCGACGGTTCTAAAACAAAACAAGGCTCGGGATGTGGAATATACTCTAGATTCTTAAACCTAAACATAAAATAAGCTGTGAGCAATAGTGTCAGTGTAGTTCAAACAGAGCTAACGGGGATTCTCATAGCAGCAAAAGAAATAACCAGAAATAATATAACTGGAAGGAACTTGCTTATCTATACAGATAGCAACAAGCACTACTCACCCTGAACAGACCACGAATTTATTCAGGGTTAGTACTAGAATGTCACGAAGCTTTGGCCGAAGTATCCATCAACAATGTGGTCACCTTAAGATTGATTAAAGGTCACGCTACATCGAAAGGTAACCGTCTTGTTGATTCACTAGCCAAGAAATACTATTTGGACCTGGCCCTCCTGTTGGCCTGACAAAATCGGTAGTAACAGACCTAATCAAAAAAATCTGATGTGTCCAACACATGACTTTCCTATCTAGTTATTACGTAAAAACAAAAAAAATCAGAATTTTGCACATTTTGTCAAATTTCTCGAATACGGACCATTTCAGGAAATTTTGACATAAAACAAAAATTATAGAAAATAATATTAGAAGTAACTGTTAATTGAACAATTTTCTTCTCCAAACATAAATAACAGATATATTCCATAAAATATAAAAACGGTCTCCCATAAAGTACCCCCCCAGATGTTCCGACTTTGTCCAAAATCTAATCATTGCACGTCAGGCCGAAATAAACATTAAATTTTAAACTTAAGGTTTTTTTCTATATCCGTTTTTGAGTTTTCTTCAAAATTCGAAATTTACACATTTTCTCAAATATCTCGAATACGGTCCATTTTAGAGAAATTATGTATAGAATAAAAATTATAGAGAATTATATTACAAACAACTTTTATTTGAACAATTTTTATAAAAAATAATTTTTTTTACATTTTGTCAAATTTCTCGAATACGGACCATTTTAGGAAAATTTTGCATATAACAAAAATTATAGATAATTATATTAGAAGTAACTTTTATTTGAAGAATTTTCTTCTCCAAACGTAAATAACAGATATATTCCATAAAATATAAAAATGACCACCTATAAAGTACCCCCCCAGATGTTCCGACTCTGCCCAAAATCTAATCAGCTCATTGGACGCTGAAACAAAGCTTAAGTTTAAAATTTGGTGTTTTTCTGTGTATCGGTTCATGAGTTATGCGTTATACAGACACACACACAGACACACACACACACACACACACACACACACACACACACACACACACACACACACACACACACAGACATCATCGCGAAAATAGTCAAAACGGATTCAAGGGACCTCAAAACGTAAAAATCCGTCGAAAACTCGAAGTCGAAAAAAATCATGATTCCTATACTTTCCTTATATCTGTATACAGATAGGAAAGTAAAACATTCCCTTGTGAAATTCAAAGAAAGATGGGATGAAATAAGAAGCTACAGAGTTGCCAGGGAGCTATTAAGTTATCCTGACAACACTGCAGCAAACAAATACTCGACTATGACTAGACAGAATCTGCTCCTAGTCACAGGCATTCTGACTGGTCATTGCCAAGTACGAAAGCAGCTCTCATTTATTAGAAGATTTGTGTTCAGCGAGTATCGGCTAACACCGGTCGATATAAGAGAAACACCTCTTGGCGACGTTGTCAACTACATTAAATCTGTAGGCTGGCTCACGAGCTAGGAGGTGCCTATCATCTCAGGAGGATGCACAATGGGCCTAATGAGGCATAAGTGCTGTGGGGTAACCCACCCTCGACACGTTATAGATACATATGGTGTCTATATATAGTTTGACAAATTATATTACAGAGTGTTACCAAATTTAATAACAATTTATTTTACTTTACTATTATATTGCTGGCAATTAAACAATATTATTATAACACAACAGTACCTAGCTGGCGTTTTTGACATTCATGTCTCCTCTTTGTATGAGTTTGTCGATTTTTCGTTTCGTATCTGTCTAGTGTGTCGTTTATGTCCCCTCCTGGTTCGCCGTAGATATTGATGACTGTTATCTTTGTTGTGGTTGAATTTATAGTGATTGTCGTGGTGTTAGTGTCTTTGTGTGTGATGACTTTGTTTGTCCATTTTTTGTTTAGGAGTATGTTGTCCGTTTAGTGTATGTGCGGGTTCTTGCATCAGTCTTCCGTCTACCTATTCTGTGTTAATTTTTCTCAACAGTTGGTCTAGTGTCAAACCCTTTTGTATTTGTAGTAGTTGTCTGTTGTGTTTTTGTGTTGTTTAGTTAGTTTATGAAGTTGTTTCTGTGTTGCTTATTGGGATATTTGGGACAGCGCGATCGTTGCAAGAGTCGCGACTGCCTTGCTGCTTTGCTGTCTATCGTTGTCGCTTGCATCGGTCTCGCGTTCCAAAATTATATTATTAAGTCAACGCAACGAGTACTTCGGAGACATCGAATGCCTGGTACACGGCAGGTATCGAATTAACAAATATCCGATGTTAAGAATGCATTATATTACAAGTATTAGTCGATAACAAAGAATATGAAATGTCAGCAGTTTTCAGTAGCAGCTGCGGTATAAATTACAGACTGACTAAGCGGTTACATAAAAAAATATAATTCCTAAAACATGGAGATGTAATGTATATGGTTGAATTATGAATATTTTGGACAGACTGAGAATGAAATAATAAATATAAAATACATTAACCTGTCACATTTGTTTAGATTTACAGACGTTAGTCGATATAATGTATTGGCATGTCTTATCGAAATAACGATGCCACATGTTTTATTGTTTATACCTACGCCATTCGTGTTTTCAACTAGCATCGTAACATCGCGCATTCGATATTCGTTATTTCCATATCGAATACTAGCATCGCGTGCTGGCATCGGATGCCAATTGCCATTATCGTTATTATAAAAACGACCATCTGGTTAGCTCCAGTAAATAGGTAAACATTACTGATGATTGAGTATGCCTATAGGTCCTGTTTTTGATGAAGTGATTTTTAGTGCTTAAAAAAATCTCATTTCTACCCAAAATCTTCTGTCTCATTTTTACATAAATTGTCCCTATTTCTTCCGCAAAAGAAATATTTATTTAAATTCACACTTCTTATTTATTTAATCTAGAATCACCCTATATATTATCTAGGAGGTGTTTTGCATTCAACTGGAAAAACCACTTCAATAATTTATTTAGTATACCTACTATTTAATTAATTTAAGATCGTGATTTAGTCGCGTAAAATATTAAATAATGTGTATTTAGAAACGTATTGGCCTCTTCATAAATATTTATGAAACAAAAAATACTCATGTTGTATTAATCTAATATTTTAACATTTAATCTGATCGAACTGATAAAAACTGGTCAATCTTTGAAGAAATTAAAACAAAAAAACATAGTTCTGTGACTTTTTATATACAACGAAGACAGAATGGATGGCAAACGTTCTGGTGAGAGTGATGTAATGTTGCAAGAAATTAATTATGTGCCGACAAGAACTGAATGTAGTGATAATCAACAACTGAAAGCCGAAAATAACGTGAAGCGATCTGATACGCCGTTTTTATGGTTCGTAGTTTTGACAGGTGAGTTAAAATAATTTAAATCAGATCATATAAACATAGGTAAATACGTTCGAGAAAATATTTTTTTAAAGTCTATTTATGACAAATTTGTCTAAACTCGAAATTAAAAATATGCTATCAAATCAAATTTTACTCTCAATCTAATCAAAACATCAAATTAATAATTTATATACGATATCTCTGTGTTGTGTTGGTTGCCATGGAAACTGGACACGATGTTACAATATAACTACTTGATTTATTTGAATTTACTGGTTTTACATTATAACTAAGTATTTTAAATTAAAAGCTGATTAAAATCGAGGAAATTCTAATCATGTCAAACTAATAATTTATGTACGATATATCTGTATGTGTTGGTTGCCATGGAAACTGGACACAATGTTACTATATAACTACTTGATTTATTTGAATTTACTGGTTATACATTATAACTATTTCAAATTAAAAGCTAATTAAAATAGAGGGAATTTTAATCATGTGTTTGATTATTTTCCTCGCCAGGCATCTTTGACATTTTAACCAATTACATCGCAATATACGTTATAGTTAGAACAAATCAGAACTAAATAAATCCACTATTTTTCACTGACTATCTTATACAGGCCTTTTCATCACAATTTTTTTTTGTGCGCATGCGTCAGCCATGTTTTTCGTGCTATTTTTTGTAAACAAGCATGTTAAAATGTCCACGTTGAAAAAGTTGTAAAAGATAAATGTTAATTTTAAGTAAATTCGTTTATAAAATGGGATAAAAAAAGTAAATAAATGTCTTAATTGAAAAATCAATTTTTGCAGTCAATTAATTATGTTATCTTTACGGAAAGGAAAAACTGAATGGTATTGTTACGAGTATGTAAAAGTGACACACTAAATTATTATTTTATAAAAAGACTTGCCTGCAATATCGTAAAAAACTCAAATCGTTAGGCAATATACATATTAAAACATGTTCAAAATAAGCATTATGAGTACAAAAATGTGGCGAATCGACAAAGGTTTTCGATCGATTGATGGACGATGTTACTAAAGATACTTATATTTTTTGTTCACTACATTTTCATGGAGAAAGTGATTCAACAGAAGAAAATCCTTGTCTGGTATTACACAATATTTTTTAATATTAAATACTACTTCGGTGATTATTACACAGTAATATTATTAAAAATGTCATGTTGATCCTTAAAATTTTAAATAATTTATCTTATTAATTACACTCGTGATAACTTTCATGGTAAAGTGTTTTTGCAATTATTAATAGTTGGTTGGCATAATTAATTAGAATAGAGTTATAATTATGATTTGTTTTCATTAATTTTTTACACTGTTAATATGTATTGAAACATAACCTCTCAATCACCACACTTTTTTTCCTTTTTCTGAACGTCCACGTCACTTCAAGAACCTTTTTAATTGCTCACAACTATGTGCTTTCACATAGTTATAAAAATGTAAATCACCATCAACGATTTTTTCTAATGATTGATTTGTATGTAGAGATAATATTGCTTTTCCAGCCATTGTTGATCAAAAGAGTACGAAATTGTTGAATTGGCGCTATTTCAATATAGCGGCTGCGCTTGCGCTCGTCACATGATGAAAAGGCCTATCGACGACCATCATGCATGGTGCTTGATATAAACCTATGTTGACAGCAACTCGCATACTTGATTATAGGTGTAATAAAAATTATTGAAAACAAATATTTTATTGTGTATTTATTAATTTAAGTAACATATAGGGCTCTAGAAATAATCTATTAATAAATTAGCCTATTTTTATTGTTACTAAATTTGTCGTGTATTTTGCAATTTGCCTTGACATCACTTTGTAATAGTATGGTGCTATTTGTAACAAAAGCGCTCTAGAAATGAATCTGTAGGCGGCTAATTGTCACAAGCTGAATTGTTAAGGAAATGAAAACTAATATTTTGGAGATTCTAAAACCGAAAGTAATCCAAAATTAGACCTTGCAGAAGGGCACTATTTTCAAAAAACAAGATATTGATGCCATTGCAAAAAGCGTAGCTTTTACTACAATATGGCCGCAAAATCCAAAAAGATCCTTTACCAGTTTCGTAAATATATTATTTTAATCATTTAAAAAACCATTGGGGCTTACGGCCCAAAAAAACTAAAAATGGGATTTCTTTGGTTTTTTCTTAGAAAAAAAATTCTACTTTTTATATCTACACTACGAAATTAGCTAAACAAGCTTTCTAAACACAAAAAGTTACTCTTTATAAAAGTTTCTAAAATGTGTGTAGATCATAACAAAACATCAACCATATTTTTGTCTTATTATAATCAACTTATGGCAATTAGTATAACATGAATCAATTAAGACGGCTGCCACGGGGTGATCTACCGTCATAAAATCGGGTGTTGTATTTCCACCACATACTTTGATTTTCTTTTACTATACGGAGAATGGTCGCACTGCGCAGCTTTCTGAGTGCCTTTTAAAAGGAGATAGAAAACTCCGCCATTTTGAACCCTTATTACGTGTTGCCTACATCTTGGCGCAATATTTTTAATAGGTGCATTTTAACATTGATCTGGCAACCTAGGGATACGACATGCGTAATCGAAAAGTGGGACCGGTCCGCCATTACTGTGAGTGCAAATTGTCAAATTTTATAGGTTATATTTTTAGTGTCATTTGTGTAATTAAATTTGAATTTAATTTGTGTTTGAGCAAATTTTGAGTGTTAAAAACTTATAAAGTATATAATGCCTTGCTGTGTTATATGTTCCTGCTCTAGCGATAGACGTTTTTGTGAAAAATCAACTGGAATAACGTTTCATAGGTTAGTATCAAAATTATAAATATTATTCAGGACAGTATTATGACAGGTTTGTATAAAATGTGTAAAAGTATGCTTTTAAAAATGCAAAAAAATCATCTATCAACTTTTGGGCCCACCTATATTGGAATAAATACTTTTTCATACGAAATAATATTTATAGATTTCCAAAAAATCCTGAAAAACGTAGCGCGTGAATACAGTTTGTCAAGAAGCATAATTGGGAACCTTCTAAATTATATATATGTACATGTTCCAAGCATTTTCTTGAGAAGTACATTAATCGTACGCTATTTCGTTTATCAAATTTATAGGCATTTTATATATTCTTATTTCTATTTAAATATAACCTACATTTGCGGTCCTTCCACCAATTTTATTTATTAGTTCTACAGCTGATTGAAAAGTAGAGCTTCATGTTTTGTGTATGCATGAGTATTGTTTGTTTTATTACAGTTAATTTAAAACAATATTAATATACCTTTTTAATTACCTATAATTTGTTTCAGATTAGTGCGTTTAAAGGAATTGGTGAAAATGAAGCGATTCGCCAGCTTTGGGATGTGCCAGTAAAAGTGACATCGAAGTTATTCATCGTTTCCAGAATAAAGTATTAAGGAACATCGTCGATGCACCATGGTACTGCCACAATACTGATCTTCATAGGAACCTTAAAGTGGAGACTGTTGAAAATACAATACAAACATTTGCCAGTAGTCACCAACAACAACTGCTCCAACATGGAAACCTCGAGATTATCCAGCTACTCAACAAGCGATGATTTCCATACCGACAAGTTCCAAAGCACCAAACATTCAGTGCTGTGTTTCGACATATTGGAACACATGGCATACTGTGTTAATATATCTTATGATATTTAAACTCTTGCAGCTTGGTAACCATGTAGAATTGGATATTTGTTCATAGGACATTTTATGCTTGAAATGAATTCAGGAATATAATATTTAAGTTTGTATAGTGCATATTATGAACACACTGTATATAAGTTCTAATAATAATAAAAATATTTTCTAATGCCTTGGTATGATTCCCCACTCGACCATTCACTGTTGGGTTCTAATAATTAACAGTGCTGTTCCTGAAGTGGCGCTGGGAAACAGTAACAACGCCTACACAGAAGACAATTATTAAGAATTTAAACACAAGCTTGAGACTGGCATATTAGGTATATACACCTTGGCCATAAGTCGAAAAAAAAAAAATAAGATTAGTCTTTTTTTAATGAGACTAGCAATAAAATCAAAACCGTTTGTCTAGTATTAAAAATAAATATCACTCATAGATATGGATAAGAAAATATTAAAACTTTATTCCTTGTACACTTTTATTTAATCACAGCACACATTATTTGCATTTACAATATTTGCTTGACGTTCATATGCCCCAGTCTGTTTTGTTCACCTTTTCTAGTAGCTTTTTCTGCTAAACTCTAGTCCCTGTTCTACCTCCACCTAGGTAATAAATTCCTCGTTAGAGACTAATACTGTTCCAGACGATCTAAAAATTTCAATAATAACACCAATAGCTAAGGTTGAGAATTCAAATAGGGCAGTGGACTTACGTCCTATTAATATGTTATGTACAGTAGAAAAAATTTTAGAGAAAGTAGTATATAATCAACTTATTGAATATTTGGAAGAAAATAATATGTTTAATAGTAATCAATCAGGATTTCGGGGTAAACACAGCTGCGAGACTGCACTACAATATGTATTAAATGACTGGAAACAGAATCTTGACAACAAGTTAATTACAGGTGCTCTTTTTTTAGACCTACAAAGAGCATTTGAAACGGTAAATCGATCTCTACTGATTAAAAAGTTTTGGTATTATTGAAAATTCACTAGAATGGCTTATAAATTACCTGGACAATAGAAAACAAAAATTAAGGTTTAAAAACATTTTATCAAAAGAACAAAAAATTAAATTAGGCGTACCACAGGGGAGTGTATTGGGCCCACTATTGTTCCTTCTATATATTGATGATATTTCTCAAGTTGCAGGTGGTTGCTCCTTACATATGTTTGCAGATGATACTCTGCTGTATTATTCTGCTAATAATTTGCAGGAAGTAACCGCTACTATAAATACCACATTAAAGCAAATATATTATTGGTGTTGTTTTAATTCGTTAAAAGTAAATATTAACAAAACTAAATTTATGATTATCGG